ACTGGGAATTAAAGTGAGAAGAAGAAAGTGCTTGCTCTGGATAGCTTCCCTCTAAGCAAAGCGAGCAGCAGTGTCAGCTCCTTCTAGTGGCCTGGCAGGAGAGTGGAGAAATTTGGAACAACAGCTGTGGGGAATGTGATGATGCGAAGTCAACATGAGATAAGAAAAAGGATGAGGGATTGCTGAGCATCAGGAAAGACTTAGCTGAAATTAAATCACAAGTCTAGTGTGGATGCAGTCAAGCTTCCAACTGAATTAATGTATTTCTCCAACCCAGGATTTTGCAGTGGTTTGCACTTATTTGCAGTTTTTCATCTGGCTCGTACAGAAATAAAAGCTGAGTAAATCACTGTAGGAGTTTAAACTCCCAAGGAGAGGATAAAGAAAAATTGAGAGTAAAATGTGAGAGTCCATCCATAGGGGGGAAAAGTTAGGAATAAAAGTTAAGAAAGGAATTAAAAATCTTAATGACTTTTTTTTGGCTTTCACTGATTATTTTATATTGTGCTGCTTTGGAAATTTAATTAGAATACTTAAAAAGAAGAATTGCAAAAGGAATTAGCACTGAGATAGTTTCCGTGATGAGGGATAACTTTTCCTTTAAAAAGGCGAATGATCAAGATTGGCCATCTGCTTAAACTTTTTTTTTATCAAATAAAGTAAGAGTTTCTAAGTAGAATAATTGAGCCAGCCTTTTTACAAATGGAGAGTGATATATGAGTAAATACCTGTGAACAGAATTTAAATATTGGAATTATTTAAACTTAAATGCTTTGGAAATATATCAAACAACTTTTAGTGAACTGTTTCAAAATTACATGTAAGACAACAGTACTTCCCAAAGGATTCCTTGCCCAGCTCCAGTCTAATGGCTGCAGGTGGTATAAAGGTACTGTAAAAGCTAGAGCCTGGTGTTAGAGTTCACAGTATAACTGGGAAGCTGAAACCAATGTGTTTGAAACAGATCATAACCAACTGATATGTGGCCTATGTTATTACCAATAAATGCAGTAGATACTAAAATAATGCCTTAAATATATTGATAATATTTAAGAGTTAACATACCTCTTTTATATAATTCTCTCATTTTGCAACAATCTTTAGAAGCAGTAATTCAGTTACCATTTCTAAGTAATACACTATCTCACATCTTAGTGGTATAAAACAATCCTATTACTATGCTCAAGGATTCTGTTTCAGGAATTTGGACAAGGCTTGAGTGGCCATTCTTCATGCTTCATGGTGTCTCTTATGCAGTTGCTATCACATGTTGTTTGGGACTTCAGTCTTCTTAAAGCTCTGTTGGTTTGGGTGTCCAAATGGCTCACGCATAGGGTGGGCAGTTTGATGTTGGTTATTGGATAGAATCTCAGCAGAGGGTCTGCCAGTTAGACTGCATGTGACTTCTCCGTGTGGCTTGTACTTCTTCACAGCATGGTAGCCTCCATGTAGTCAAAAGTCTAACACGGCAGCTCAGGGGTCAAGTTGAAGTAAACCAACAGAAAAGGTGGAAGCTGCATGACCTTTTATGACTTAGCCTTGGATATCACCCAACATCCCTACTGCTATATAATCTGTAGTCACAAGTCTTCCCAGATTCAAGGGGAGGGAGAGAGACCCTATCTCTTAATGAAAAAAGTGTCAAAGAATGTGTGGCCTTTAAAAAAAAACAGTCACAGGTAGTTATTACCATGTCCACACACAGATGAGAAAACTAATGCTCAAAAAGATTCAAGAACTTGCCTAGTATCATGTAGTAGTAAATGGCTAAGCCCAGATTCGAAACCAGGTCTAATACTTTTGCCATTACACTAGTCTTTATTTTAGAAGCCAGTGTTAGCAATTAAAAAAAACAACAACAACAAAAAATCTTTATAGGGTAAATGGGACTTTGTGACCTCAATAGATTACAAAGAAAATTCAACCAAAAAACACTTAATATGTTACCATATTCCTCAGAACCCTAATCTTTCCACTGTATTTAAATGCCCAAGGCAGAAACTAAGGTCCTTACCTGTTTTCTCTTTATTTCCCATGTCATGTCAACAGGTCCTCCTGATTTCAGCCTCTTAATAGTTCTAAAATATGTCCTTGACTATCTCTTCCCTAGTGTAGAGGCTATAATATCTTTCATTTAGACCAGGGGTTGGCAAGCCATGGCCCATGGCCAAACCTGGCCTACCACCTGTTCTCTATGTCCAACAAGCCAAAGGTAGTTCTTACATTTTCAAATGATTGGAAAAAATTAAAATAAGAGTAATATTTTTTAATACATTAAAATATATACAATAAAATTTTAGTGCCCATTAAGGACATTTTATTGGAACATAGTCATACCCATTCACTTACATATTGACTATGGCTGCTTTCCCACTACAAGGGCAGAATTGAGTAGTTGCAAATGGAACTCTATAGCCTGAAATGCCTAAAATATTTACCATCTGGCCCTTTAAAGACATGTTTGTTTTTCCTATTTTAGACTACTGTAGGATCGTCCTAACTGATTTCCCTGACTATGGTCTTGTCCTCCTCTGGACCAATTTCCACACTGCAACCGTAGTAATCTATATATGATAAAGTCCCTCACACACATTGAAGACTTCAATGCCTAAACATTGCCTAAAGAAAAAAGAATGAGATACAACGGCTTTAGGATGGCATACAAGGCCTTCCGTAATATGATGCCTGCTTACTTTTTCAGTCTTATTTTTTAGCTACATTCTTTCTTGAAATGTATTATTTAGTCTTAATGAAGACTGTCATTTCCGTACACATTTTATGAAGTTTCATGCCTTCCCTCATTGGATTCCTTCATCCTGGAACACCTTTCCTTGCCTTCTTCAAGTTAATTTCTATCAGTCATTCAAGACTAAGAGGTAATGCTGTACCTCTTTGGGGAAGGCATTCCTGAAACTATACCCTTACCCCATACACATGCAGCAAGTGATTCCAGTTTGGAGGTTTTTGTTGTAAATCCATTAAACAATAACAGGCCTGAATAACATGGGGATATCTAATGGATAGTTTTGTATTAGGCAAATGCAAAGGAAATTTTGAAAGAATAAATAGTAGTAGGTCCTGTTAAGATGGACATAAGGAATAGAAGACAGGGAAGAGTGGAAGATACATCTGAGTTATCTAGCCTGGGGACATAGAGTAGTAATTATACCATAACAACAAAAGAGCCTCTATCAATTAGCTATAGCACTATGCCAAAACAAGAGGATTTTCCCTATTAGCTGAATTTTTTTTTGATGAGCAAATGGTTGGAAAGGGAAAGAAAAGCTATTTTTAAAGGAAAAGATGAATTTCATTTTTGACATATTGAGTAAGTATAAAAATGTGATATCCAAGTAGATATGTCTTGCTGGTATCTAAAATCATAAGTCTAAATCATAAATAAGAGGCTAAGAATACTAGCTCAATGAGGACAAAAACTATATTTGTCTTACCTCAAGGTGTTATTTTAAGTGCTTAGTGCACAGAGAGTGGCACATACTAAGTCAGTGGTTCTCAGCCCCAACAGGGAATGAGAAACACCTGAGGAAATTTTTTCATCGTTTATTTTGTTTCAGGGATGTCCAACCTTTTGGTGTCTCTGGGCCACACTGGAAGAGAAGAGTTGTCTTGGGCCACACAGTAAATATACAAACACTAATGAAAACTGATGAGCAAAACAAAGGTTTTAAGTAACTTTACAATTTTGTGTTGGGCTGCATTCATAGGCATCCTGGGCCGCGTGCAGCCCAATGGCCAAAGATTGGACACCCGTGATAGGTGTCATGTCAGGCTTGAGTTAGAATTCTCAATGCTGAGATTCAGAAATATCAAGTTCTTAAAGACTCTACCGCTGATTATAACGCACAAAGTTAAGAATCATTGTAGTAGATGTTCAGTAAATATTGGTTGAATAAATGAATCATTACGTTCATTCACTCCTTTTGATTCTAGAGTGGCATAAGAAAGAAAGGTTTCTTTCTGGTATAACTTGTAAGGTGAGATAGTCAATATAGATGAAAAGAATGACAAAGAGTAAATATAGAATAAAATGGGAGCCAAAATGAGAGAAGGAAAATGGAAAAAATTTTAAAGCAACCTCTTTTTCTCATACTTTATTTTTTAGAGAAAAGATGATAAAATCAAAATTGGTGATATTGTCCTATCTTTGGACAGGCCAATGGGGCAGCATAATGCCATCATCAGTACTCTAGGCTCCATTTAAAGTCCTTACCTTCTGCTCAGAGGTCGAATATAACAACTTTCTTATGCATATGCCACTTAACATTGGTAATCTAATCCTAAAAATCAGACATCCAGAATAAAACATTAACCAGAAGCCTATTTCCCAATATTTTTCTCACCATTTTATTTTTAATACTGAATTACTTAAGAATACATATAGCTATCTTGACATTCAATCCCTAAATATGTCTTTGTAAAACTCTTAAAACTAACAAAATTACATTATGGAGTCAATTAACACTCTAACACCTAAGAATTAATAATAATTTTCTGTTATTATCCAATAATCACTGTCTTCAAATTTACCAGTTTTTTCAAAGAAGAAGTTCTTTATACCAAGATTCTATTCAAGACCACGTATTTTATCTGCATGCTATGTTTTTTAATCTCTTTTAATACCAAAGCAATCCCTTTTTTAATGACACCAAATGGTGAAGGAATGAGGCACATGCCAGCTCCTGAATTTGATTGATTGTTTCTTTTAGATGTGAATGTTTTTCTTTTATGTTTAAGAGCTTTGTTGTGGCAAAACTGACATACATTAAAGGGAACATATTGAAAGTACCCAATTATTTATTTATTTATTTTTTGCTGCAAAAGGCTTTATTGTTTGCATTTGGTCCGATGCATGGGACAGGGTTCCAGGGTGGGGTTGCAGGAGGAGGCTCAGGCAAAAGCCAGAGGCCTGGGAAATGCCTCAAAGGCCTCTGGGCTCCAAAGGCTTCCCAGTCGTACTTGAGAGTGAGCCTTTGGAAGAGATACTCACCCATCCCAGCCTAGGGGCCCAGCCTGCGGATGTTAGTCAGATGATCGCCCATCTTCTTGATGAGTTTCACCTCCTCATCTGGGAAGTAGTTCTCCAGGAAGTCACAGAGATGAGGATCTGTGCGGGCAGAACCCAGGGCATGCAGATCCAGAAGGGCCTGGTTCAGTTTCTTCTCCAAGGCCAAGGCTGCTTCCATGGCATCCTGAGTTTTACCCCAGTCATCTTTGGAAGGCTTCGCGGCGTCGTTGAGGAGAATGCGGCCACCGCGCTGGATTTGCAGCTTTAAGAGACGCTCAGAGCCCTCACACTTCTCCTCGGCCAGCTCTCGGAAGAAGTGGCCCACACCGTGCAGAGCCACATCGTCATGGTCAAAATAGAAGCCCAGAGAGAGGTAGGTGTAGGGGGCCCCCAGATGCAGGTTGGCCAGGCGGTTGACGGTGGCTTCCACCTCAGAGGAATAATTCTGACGAATCTGGGAGCTCATGGTTGCTCGGCAGTGACGAATTAAAGTCAATAAAACAGCGTCGGTTGGTCTCAGAGGCTGAGGATGGCTGAGGTGGTTTCGAAGGTGGTGACTAGAAAAGAGGATGGAAGGTAATTAGAAAGATAGGGCGTCCCTAAGTCTCTTCTGTCCAAACCCTGTTGAAGCAAGAGACAGATCCCAGGACCGCCGAGGGCACTGTCTAAAGTACCCAATTTGATATCTTTTAACATAAATGTACAGAAATAAAACCATCAACACAAGAGAATGAACATACCTTCACCCCTCAACTAGCCCTCCTATTCCTTTGTTATTCTCTCTTCCCCACCTCTGACCCTGCCAGGTTCCCAGGCAATCACTGACTAACCTGCTTTCTGTCACCATCAATTAGTTTGCATACTCTAGAATTTTATATAAATGAAATCATGTATTGCATGCTATATTTTGGTATAGTTTCTATCATTCAGCATAATTATTTGGATGTCCATTGATGTTGTGATGTATATCAATTGTTTATTGTTTTTCATTGATGAGTAGTATACCAATGCATAGATATATAACAGAATGTTTATTTGACTCTTACAGATAAAGCTGCTATGAACATTCTTATACAAGTTTATTTGTGGACAAATGTTTTTCTTGGGTAGATAGCTAAAAGGGAAATTTATGGGTCATATACTAGTTGTATGTTTAACTTTTTAAAAAACTACTGAACTAATTGTTGTGAAGTGGCAGTACCATTTTATATTGTCACCTCATGTGGATGAGATTTTCTCTTGCTCCATACGCTCACCAATACCTACATGTGATATGATCAGTATTTTTTTTTTTGGTTTTACACATCCTAGTGGGAGTGTAGGAGTATCTCAATGTGTTTTTCTTTTATGTGACCTTAAAGACAAATAATGTCTAGTATCTTCCCATATGCTTACTTAATACCCACTGTATATTTTCTTTCTCTACTGATGTATCTGTTCAAATGTATTGACCATTTTATTTAAGTTGTTCACATTTTAATTACTATTTATATAATGAAATATAAGTATTTTTTGGTCAATTTTTTGCAAATACTATCTTTTATTTGGGCCTCACCTTTTAATTTTCATGTATTTAGTGTCTTTTGAAAATAACAAACATTTTTATGTTGATAAGTTCCTAATGTATCGATTTTTTTCTTTTCTAAAAGTTTATGTTTTCTGTTGTATTTAATACATCTTTGGCAAATACAAACTGACTATAATTTTCTCTTACATTTTCTGCTAAATATTTTATTGTGTTGGCCTTACTCATAGACATATAAATCATTTTGTGTTAGTTTACTACATGGTGTGAACAAAGGGTTGAAATTCATGTATTTATCATATGGCAACCAAATTGTCCCAGCATCCTTTTTATTTAAATGTTAACCTTTTCCAATTGAATTATTTTGGCCTCTTTGGTTTTTTTTTTTTTTCATTTGTTTATTTTGTTTTGTTGGGTTTTTTTTTAGAAATTTTATTTTTCATCAACCTTATTTCCATTCTGTTGGAGTTTGTGGAAGAACAGCTTAAGACCACTCAGTGGTTGTTCCCACTCATTCAGTGGCCTATGCAGTGCGGGCTGCAGACCAGTCCTCAGTGGCAGTTGAGCACTCCAGTCTTCAGTAGGAAACCGTTGAATAGGCACAGAGGGCCCCTGCGCATTCAGACCAGTCAGTGCCCTTAGGCTGAGGGGCAGTGAACTCAGGAACTGGAGCAGTCCACTCACTCTGAAATTCTTCTGTGGTCACAGCCTTTTCAGCAGCGGCCTGCTCTTCCTTCTCAGTCTCTTCAGGATCTCTGTAGAAGTAGAAATCAGGCAAGACCTCCCGTGTCTAGGTTCATTTTTTCTCGGCAGATGGTGCCACACAAGCGCAGAATTTCCCAGGCCAGCATCCACCACATCAAACCCACTGAATGGACCCCCTTGTTGTTGCAAGGGACGGCAATGTCCACATAGTGCAGGAGAGAGTCTGTGATACACAGAGCAATGGTGGTCAGGTTAACATAAGATACCTCTGTGAGAGGCTGGTGGTCAGCCCTGGGGTCAGTAGCCACCAGAAGTCTTGGCTCTCAGAAGGCTGCCTGGATCTGGTTAGTGAAGGTTCCGGGAGTGAAGTGTCCAGCAACAGCAGTGGCTCCGCTGGCAGCAGCAAACTTCAGCACAGCTTGCTGGTCGGTACTCCTGGACTATATGACACGGACTGATAGCAGTGGGCTTTTCAATGGCAACAATGGCATGAGCAGCCAGCAGAAGCTTCTCCCAGGTTCTCTTCAGATTTATGATGTATACACCATCACTTTTCCTTTTGTAGATATGCTGGTTCATTTGGAAGTCAGGGTTGGTGCCCCTAAGTGGGTTCCTGCTGTGAGGAATTTGAGGATGTCATCCTCCTTCATTTGCAGGACATCAAGGGCCCCTGACATTGTGAAAGTTTCCCTTTAAGTTATGTAGGAACCGAGAACAACACGAATGGGCCCCTCCGAGGGGAACAGAGAAAGACTGGCATCTTTGTTGGAAATTAATTCACCATGCATGTGTGAGTCTAATTCTGTACTCTTTATTTTGTTCCATTGATCTACATGGCAATCTTTACTCAATACTACATTGCCTTGATAACTGTAACTTTATAATAAATATTACAATTGGGTAATGTAAGTTCTTGAAATTTTTTCCTTTTTTTCCCCCCAAAATTATTTTGGTTCTAGAGCCAGTGAATTTCCATGCAAATTTCAGAATCTCCTACCCAATTTTAAAAAGCATGGAGGGAGGGGGGGTCGGGGGGAAAGGAAGGGAATGGGAGGGTCGGAGAATGTGTAGCAAGGTCTCATGGACAAAACCAAAGGGGAAGGATTGAGGGAGGAAGAGGGGAGGGGGCAGGGGAAGGTGGTGGGGAGAAGGCAGAGACAAATGTATTTGAAAAAATAAAGAAAATAAAAAAATGTATGCTTGGATTTTTATTGGGATCACATTAAATCTGTCGTTCAATTTGGGGAAAACTGAAATCTTAACATCACTGAGTCTTTCAATTCATGAACACAATCTATCTCTTCATTTATTTGGGTTTAATTCATTTCATTATTATTTTGTAGTTTTTGGTGTAAAGGTGGTGCATATCTTTTCTCAAACTTACCACTGAGTATTTAATATTTTGTGCCATTGTTAATGGTCTATATTTTAAATATGAATTTCTTTAATTTTTGTTTTTTTAAATAGTATATTTTTATTGTATTTTTTCCATTACCATTTATCCCCCCATACCCTCTTCCACATCCACCCACCCCCATCCCACATAATCATCACGCTGTTGTCCTTGCCCATGAGTTCTTCTTTTTTGCTCAGTCCCTTCACCCCTCACCTTCACCCCCCAGAGCTGTCAGCCTGCTCTATCTATGAATCTTTCTCTATTTTGTTCGTCAGTTTATTTTATTCATTAGATTCCACATATGAGTGAAATCATATGGTATTTGTCCTTTCCTGACTGGTTTATCTCACTTAGCATAATACTGTCCAGGTCCATTCGTACTGTTGCAAAGGGTAACGTTTTCTTCTTTTTCACAGCCAAGTAGTATTCCATTATATAAATGTACCGCTACTTTTTTATCAACTCATCTACTGATGGACACTAGAGTGACTTCAAAATTTTGGCTATTGTAAATAATGCTGCGATGAACATAGGGGTGCATATATTCTTTCAAATTAGTGTTTATGGTTTCCTCAGATACATTTCCAAAAGTGGAATCACTGGGTCATAAGGCAGTTCGATTTTTAATTTTTTGAGGTAACTCCATATTGCTTTCCACAATGGCTGCACCAGTCTTCATTTCCACCAACAGTGCACAAAGGTTCCCCTTTTTCTACACCCTCAGCAGCACTTGCTGTTTGTTGATGTATTGATAATGGCCATTCTGACAGGTGTGAGATGATATCTCATTGTGGTTTTAATTTGCATCTCTCTGATGATTACTGATGTTGAGTGCCTTTTCATATGTCTATTGGCCATCTGTATATTTTCACTGGAGAAGTGTCTATTCAGATCTCCTGCCCACTTTTTAATTAGGTTGTTTTTTTTATTTGGTGTTAAATATTATAAGTTCTTTATAAATTTTGGATATTAATTCTTATCAGATGTATTGGTGAATATGTTCTCCCATTTGGTGGGTTATTTTTTGATTTTGTTGATGGCTTCCTTTGCTGTGCAAAAACTTTTAGTTTGATATAATCCCATTTGTTTATTTTTTTTCTTTGGTTTCCCTTGCCCGAGGAGATAAATCAGAAAAAAATATTGCTATTAGAAATGTCTGAGATTTTACTGTCTATGTTTTCTTCTAAGATTTTTATGGTTTTGAGTCTAACATTTAAGTCCTTAATCAGTTTTGCGTTTATTCTTGTGTTTTGTGTAAGAAAGTGGTCTAGGTTCATTTTTTTTCAAATATCTGTCCAATTTTCCCAAAATTATTTATTGAATAAACTCTCTTTAGCCCATTGTACGTTTTTTCCTCCTTTGACAAATATTAATTGACTATAAAGGCATGGGTTTATTTCCAGGTTCACTGTTCTGTTCCATTGATCTATGTGTCTGTTTTTATGCCAGTATCATGTGTTTTGATTTCTATGGCTTTGTAGTATAGTTTGATAATGAGTAGCATGAGTCTTCCAATTTTGTTCTTCTTTCTCAAGATCTCTATGGCTATTTGGGTTTTTTTGTGGTTCCATATAAATTTTTGGGGTATTTGTTCTAATCCTGTGAAATATGTCATTGGTATTTTGAAAAGAATTGCATTGAACCCACAGATTGTTTTGGAAAATATCAATTTATTTTTTTGAGATTTTATTTATTTATTTTTAGAGAGAGGGAAAGGGAAGGAGAAAGAGGGGGAAAGAAACATCAATGTGAGAGAGAAACATCGATTGGTTGCCTCTTGTACACTCTCCACCTAGGACCAAACCTCTACCCACAGCCCAGGTATGTGCTCTGACTGGGAATCAAACCAGTGGCCTTTCATTTTGCGGGATGATGCCCAACTAACTGAGCCACACTGGTCAAGGCTGAAAATATCAATCTCTTATTGTTCATTCTTAGCACA